ATAAAGTTAAGCGTTTACTCTCTAGAGTGAGCACTTGCTCCAAAATTTCGGAGGGACCTTAGTAGCAAACTCACGTTTGAAAAATAAGGTTAAATTGGCCGATTTTTTTTTTTTTTTACCGTGTGTTGATATGCTGATGTAACGGATTAAAAAAATGACCAGAGAAGGCGAAATTCTCGTGATGAAGACTAATAGAATCTTGGCCGATTCGAAAAGAACAATGTATGGTTGGTACGATTTTTTTCGGCGTTTGCTTTCAGGCGCTCTTTTCTACTTGGATTTTTTCTGGGTACTGTTTTTTCAAATTTTGTCATGTTTCGTTTCGACCACGGCGTACCTGGTATGTGGATCTTTTCAAAAATAATTTTATATTCGCTTAGCATTTTGGCAAAAACTAGCTGGGCCTCTGGCGCCTGTTTTTCGTTACTGCTACTCATATTCGAATTTAAAGAACCAGACAACAAAACATTGCTCTTTATTCCGCACTCACGTGCGCGACGCGCGAACGTATGTAACGTCTTTGATATTCAAGAAACCAATTTTTAAAACTCTTAGCCTGCACTATCACTTGTTCAGCACTACGTTGTTATGTTCAATGTTATTTGTGCAAATGCTCACGAGACATGAGTAAGTTCTTCGGAGACATACGAAGTTTTTATTCATACGAAATGGATCTTCTGCTCAGTGCCGCGGAGTAGACTCACTTTGCTCCGGAGCAAGTACTCCTGAGCAAGTGCTCAGTTTTATTCATATAACCCAATATCTCATTAAACTACCTTCCTCGGTCTAACAATTCAAGAAAATCTAAAATGGAATGCTCGCATCTCAAATCTTAACAAGAAACTCGCCAAATCTTGCTATGCCCTATACACCCTTAGGTCAAGCTCTAACATTGAGACACTTTGAACAATGTATTTTGCAAATGTGCTCTCACACCTAAAATATGGAATAATATTCTGGGGAAATGCCCCTGAAAACACTCGCACATTTATTATCCAAAAAATAATATTGAGAACAATGACTAGCCCTCATAAGCAGGAGTCTTGCAAACCCTTGTTCAATAAACTAAGGATTCTTCCTCTACCATGCATGTATACATTTGAAATAGCGATCTTCGCAAAGAAAATTCTCATGGAAAACAAAGACACTTTAACTTTAAATTCCGATGTACACAACTACAACACCCGTCAAAAGGATAACCTGCATGTTCTGAAACAACACTTTATCAAAAAAGTACCCTAATAGAGGGCATTACACTTTACAACAAACTAGGCAATGATATTAAAGACATAAACACAATTCATTCATTTAAAAGTAAATTGAAAGCTTTCCTGCTTAACAACATGTTCTACAGTGTAAAAGAGTATTCAAATTACAATAGTTCCTTTAAAAAATATAAATAAATAATATCGCATCCTGTGAAATAGAAGGAGAATGCCTGTCAAAAACAAAAAATTATGTTTCTCTCTGGATTCGCTAGACGTATTAGGTGCTGCACTAGGACTAGTACTAAAAATAATTATCTACTGCATAATGTCCTAATCTATCATTAGCATTATTGTAGTATAATTTTTAGGCCAATGACTCCACTCGATCAGGTTTTGTTCAGTTTCCCTGGTCCAGCAAATGCTGAGATGGCCCCTTGTTTGCTCCTGAACAGTAATGTAACTTCGCTCTCTCCACCCAAGAACTCATACTGACTCGTCATACACGATTGTAATTATTTATGTGAATCAATAAATATTATTATTATTATTATTATTATTATTATTATTATTATTATAAAAGTGAATGTGTTGTTTACTGAGCGTGAACGCTCAGTAAACATACAGTATGTTAGAGTCCAAAAATTTCGCGTTTACAATTTTTGAAAAAGTGAGAAAGTGAAAATATAG